TGAAAAGTGTTCTGGAGATGGATGATGGTGACAATTGCACAACATTATGAATGAACTAAATTGTGCATTTAAAAATAGTTAAGATGGTAAATTTTAAGTTATACATAGTTTATCACTATAATAAAAATTGAGGGGAAAAAAAGGAAATTACAGAGATGTCTCAGAAACATCAAAAATCCTGAGATTTTGAGATTTGTTTTTAAAGACTAAATTTAAGAATTATCATGTAATACATAACAGTCAGCAAAGTGATTCAGAGAGTTTCTACTATTTTACAATTTAGTAAAAGGCCACACTTTAATTCTAAAAGTACTCTGCCTAGTTTCACATAGTCATGTTTTCTCACATTCTGATAGTAGCTTTAAATGTAATATATGGCAATTTACACAAGGTTAATAATTTTATCTAAGCAAGAAATAAATGATTTCATTCATTATACAGAAGTGCCCAGTATTTCCTAAAATGAGGACAGATTGATTATTATAAGAAAAGAGTTAGAAATTTGCTAGGTTCATCCACAGGTCATCGATTTCATGCCCAAATTTACCTGCAAGCGTAATCCTAGTACTGGAATAGCTGCATTCTAAGCTAAGAGAAGGAAGTAAGTTGAGTCTTTCATTTGTATCAGAAATAAAGAATCTCTCAAGTCCTTGATATTGTTCAGTTATAGGCTTACTTCTGAGGGCTATTTCTTGTAACAACTAGGAAACAAAATATTCAACAAAATTAAGTTTATTTTCTACCTCATCAAAACAAAGAAACAAGTTCAGTCAAACACCTACTACATACTTGGCACGAATTCTGCCTTCATCAAGATTAGGTTCTAATATTGGAGACATAAATAATAGCACAACATTTATACACAGAATGTTTTTAAAAATGTACAAACCACAATTACAGTAATTATCTGAAAGTTGCCATCAATCCAAGGAGGATAGAAGTTCATTAAATAAAATAAAGTTTTCCTTTCTCTCTTCTTTTAGTTTCTTCTCTCAAAGTCTTTACACATAAATTATTCTGGAATACAAAGTCTCTTTCACATGCAGTGCTTTTGAACCAGTGTATTTGTATATACATAAAATAATTTCAAAGATGAAAGTGAAATACCAATGGGAATAAAATCTGATCTGACAATGATCATAAGCAAAATCCAAGTTAACAAAATACTCATCACGCAGCAAATACACAAGTAGGAAACTGAGGCAAGAGGAAGATAATTAACTTATAAAGTCTACATAGCTAGAAACTAGCAGACCCAGGCTTTGAATGTAGATCCAGCTGATTTGAAGCCTAGGCTTATACCACCACCCTATGAGGAAGATAATTAACTTATAAAGTCTACATAGCTAGAAACTAGCAGACCCAGGCTTTGAATATAGATCCAGCTGATTTGAAGCCTAGGCTTATACCACCACCCTATTAATTAATTTATTTTTGATTGAACATTACTGGATTTTTTTAAAAGCACATAAATCTAGTAGGAAACAGATTAGGAATTCAGAAGTAAGAGTTCTAGATGAGCTTAAAATGTAACCAGAGTGGCTATCAGTATTTAACATTTCCTTAATGAATCTACTTAATGCCCAAATACAGTCTGTTTCAAGGGACTAAATAAGGCAAAGCAAATTGTTATAACTCTATATAAATTCAGAAGTCATATAAATGAGAGAATATTATAAAACGAAGCTGGTGACCAATAAGCATGTAATTCAAAGACAAATTCAAGTCCACTCTTCTCAGGACATCTTCCCAGCCTCTCCTAGACATCAATCAACAACTATAGAATTCCCTCAGCTCTAAAGAACTCATATTTGCAATATCCAATATCAAATACAGATGGGTTTTTAAAGTCTTAGTTAAACAGGAAAACTTGGTTAAGTTTTGTTTTGTCCAAACTCACAAAGTTAACTATTGATAGTTTCAGAACTTAATTCCATAGGAAGTTCCATATTATGAAATCAGTTCCTAAAAGTGAAGTTCAAAATGAGCCATCTTACACTCAATTTCGGTGTCAGGAAATGCCACTGCTAAAAATTGACCCTGCTTCCAGGAACATGAATTTTCTACTGCAGCACAATAGATTTCTAAGTAGTTTCTGCTCAAAGAATGGCTTCTACTAGGGCAGGAGAAGAATAAAAACAAATCAGGCCTACTCATTAGGGATGAAAAGAAAGTAAGATTCAACCACTTTACTATTCAAAAGCAAGACTTCAGTCTGTAGACTGTGGAGTGCCACTTCTGATGGCCACTTCAGAAAACTCTCCTTATTTTAGATGTAGCCCCCTTTTGGTCAACTTTTGTTTTGCAGCTCCTCCAATTCTCTCCAGCTGTGACCCAAGGACCACTCATGACAGAGATGAGCCATCTCCTGAAAGATGCTCAAGGAGAATCTTTACCACTCAGTTTAAATCCTATCAGAAGTGGTGGACAATTTCTGTGAAACTATTTATACTTTTTTATCCCTCAGATATAATTACCTTAGAATGGATTAAGATGCTGTTTATTTTATTTATAAAAAGGGCAGTCCTTCAGTTAGAGACATTTGTCTGTTGAAGATTTCTTTAAAATTCTCTGACAGATTCTTGCTGAGCAAATGACATGTCTCTCAATCCAATATCCCCCATGAGGAAAAGGCAGCTTTACACGCTACTACTTTACTGCTGTCCAGGACTACATGTAGTCTCACCTAATTGAAAAACGGTAGCCATGTATTTGATCGGGTTCAAGTTGGTGAGAACTTTATGGATCCCAGGTGTTTAAATGTTCTTTCAGATTGCTTCCTGAACTAACTCTGTTGGGTGTATTTTACTCTGAGTGATTTATAGTGTGAAATAGAATGAAACAAGAATGTGTGCTGATCACACACTCTTTCCTTTTAAGAAACAGCTAAATGTAGTGATACACATTTTACAGTAATTGGATAGGGTGATATTACCATATTAAAGAGTGAAAAAACACTGCTGGAAATTAAGAGTGGTATTTAACTCACACCCTTCCTGACAGAGTCTGATCAGTTGAGAGTAGACCAGGAAGTCAGAT